AAAAATAATGATTTTAAGAAAATATGGAGTGTATTCTTGGAATATGGATTTCGGAAAGGGAAGGGGCATATACCAAGGAAAGAAACAATGAAGTTTTGGAGAGAAAATGGACTGAATGAAATTTAAAATATTATTAATGCTGGCCCTGACGGTGATGGTGGCACTGATGTATTATGTAATTGTGTTTTATTGTGGTGTTAGGTTTATGTTGTTTAGGTTGGATGTATGTTTAATAAAAAAAAAAAAAGAAAATGGGAAAATTAAATATAACACATGTAAAAACTCTTAAAATACTGGATTCAGTATATTATTACATAAAATAAATCATATACGCCACCTGACTTCTGCAAGATAAAATATTTACAACTTCTGCAAGATAAAATATTTATGACTTCTGCAAGATAAAATACTTAACCGGAATCTCTGAAAGGCAGTCTTTCAGATAACCTGGGCTCAAGCTGGAAATGGAAAGGAACTTGTTTGTAGTGTAGGTCAGAACTCCTGTTATGTAGGGAAAGCAGGAAGCTGTAAATTGAGTGTACTAATCCCATACCTTTGATTTTGAGATCTTAGACTGGAGACAGATTGTCTTTTAAGAGACTTGAGAGTGGCATGGTAGATGCTCTGTTTCTAATGGTGTATAACAGGAGCAAGGAACCTGTGGCCCACCGGACATTGTGAGATTTGACCTCTATTTAGCCCCAGGTAGCAGACTTCAGGAAGTATTTTTAATCCAACAATATGTGGATCTTTCCCATCTCTGGCATATACGGTTGTTTATTCTGTTCCATTGTCACCTATTTTCAAAACCCTTTTACAGGGTTCTCAGTTTGAAAAAAAAAACCTACAGCTGTCAAACCTATTCAATGCATTCCAATGGGGGGGAAAATTCACCAAAAATTAACCAAGAGTCAGAACAAAGCCAAATTAATTCTGCAAAGGTTTTACAAGGTGCACTAACGATACCAAGCATTTAAAACAGGTTTAAAACGATACCAAGCATTTAAGACACTTTTAAATTAGCGAAAACGGACATCGTTAAGCGAAACAGGGGACCCAAAATGCAATGGCTATGCGAAGCATGGTCCTGAAGTCGCTAAGCGAAAATCGGCCATAGAGAACATTGTTAAACGATGCGGAAAATTCCTCAAAAAAACCCATCGCTAAGCGAATACATCGTTAAACGAAGCAATCGCTAAGCAAGGCACCACTGTATTATATGATAGATGTCCAGGCAATATGTCATTTTAAAAGAACCAAATAGAAATTGTTTATTGATACAGGTGTTGACGGAACAAGCAACATCGTTAACTCTTAAACAAACATTCTTCTTTATCCACCCTCAACCACCATTCTCCTGCCCAAACTCCAAAACTCTCTCAATTCTCTAACACTCTAATTCTCCATCTCAAAACCCTATCTAAACCTTATCTCTGTCTATCTAAACTCCTCCCCCTCCTGCTGAGTCTCTTACACCTCTTGACTCCATCCCTCCAGCACTCCCATTGGTCTATGCAAGCAACATATGAATATCCATGACATGGGCAAATGCCAGGGATCCCAATCCCCAATTCCTCCCCAATGCAAACTTCAGCTTCGTAAGCATTATTTTCATTAGCATTAAGTCAAAGGTTAATTTGGAAAAAAAGGCCCTGCCTGTTAAATGTAAAGACACACCAAACATGTTTTGTTCTTTTTGGCAATAATACTGTACAGCATTTCCTAATATGATACCTTCCAGATGTGTTGGGCTACAATGGCCACATTTGCCTTTAATGATCAGGGTTGTAGTTCAACCCATGTGGAAAGGCTTCAGCAGCGGAAAAGAAAATCAGTGGAATCCAACTCTACCAGAAGCAACAATGGCTCTACTGTTCTCTCTCTTGCTCATGAAACAAATCTCTCTGGTAATCTAGTGGCGATCGTTTTACTATTAAAGGCTGCCCGTCCCCATTCCAAGGCTCCAAAAAGTTTTCCCAGGGGAAAAGGGAGCCCTAAAGAGGCTCAGAACCTAAAAGGAAGATTTTAACTACTTTAAATTAAATGCTTTTGGCACCTGATCCACGTTACACTGACGCAAAGTTATGCAATTTTGCTTAGTAATTTGTAAATGAACAATTCTCTGTAAATAAAAAGAAACCACTCATTTCTAACCAACGAATTCTCACTCATAAATACAGCTTGAATGTATGAACTAAGAAGCTAAGAATGTACAGTTTATATATATATATAATTGAACACAGGCAGTATTCAAAAATAATTTTTAAAAAAGGCTTAAGAACCTTATTATTCTTGGCTTTTATCCCCTCAGCTATTGATGGGTTATGAAAATGGTACTGTAGTACTCTGGGACCTAAGATCAAAAAGAGCTGATTTGAGAGTATACTACGATGAGGTAAGCTCTCTCTCTCTCTCTCTCTCTCTCTCTCTCTCTCTCTCTCTCTCTCTGTGTGTGTGTGTGTGTGTGTGTAGATGCCTTGAAAATATTTGTCCCTTCCACTGGACACACACAATAAATCTACTTCCTAATTTTTATAAAATTACTGGTTTCATAAATTTGTCTCAAGGTATAGCTGTAGGAATCTCTTGCAACATTAAAGGGAAGAGTTTGAAAAGAGTTTAAAATATTGTGGCACTTTAGAGACTAGAATATTTGTTTCTTTATGGCTGTTTGAGGATCAAAAACTCACTTCTTTAGACACATGGAGTATTCTTCTATGTCCTGTATATTTATACATATATGCTCATCATAGATCATCATCAGGTGTGGGTACTCGCAATAATTTTGCACTTCATCTCACCATAACCCCTCAAGGGGACATTAATAAATACAGATATTCCATGTGTCCAGAGAAGTGGATGTTTGACCCATGAAATCCCTTCATTAGCAGAAGTTTGCAAACTTTACATATTAAAAGCCTGCCTGCTGACGAAAGGAGAGAAAGGAGAGAGCCCCCCCTGGTTTCTGTTTGAAAGGAACGTGGTAGCCTGGGAGCAGCCCCTAAAAAGGCCCTTTCCCATGTCTACACTAAGCACACCCAAACTTCCCCTGAAGACCTTAAAGCCCAGAGAGGCTGGAATGGAGATTCTACAGTCCCTCAAATAGCCTGCAACCCAATTGTTTATGGCTTTATAGATTAACAGCACCATGACTAGTGCTTGGAAACAGACTGGTAGCCGGTGAAGTTGCTGTAACAAGGAGTTTCTATTATTTTCATGAGCGACATTTGTTTGTTTGTTTGTTTGTTTGTTATTTCTATTATTTTCATGAGCGACATTTATTTATTTGTTTGTTTGATTGATTGATTGATATGCCACCCGCACTCTGCAAGAGTCTCTGAGCGGTTCCATGCATGATTCCATCCCCCCCAATAATTTTTGCAGAGTTTATCATGTTTATTGAAAGATCGGTAGCTTTTGCTGTGTAAACAAAGCAATAAGGACCCTAATTCCAGAGCCTCCAGGAAGTCGAATCCACCTCGAAAGATAAGATGCATAATGCTACATGTCTTCTTAGTTGTTGGGGATAAAAATGACAATGCTTCAGCAGCTGGGGTTGAGATGTTGTCTTCAAGCGTGTCTCCTCCTGAAAGTTGCCCCACTAGAGCTAAACAATAACAAGCTTAGATGGCAGAGGAAAAATTATTAACCATGAAAATTCTGAACTGTACATCCATTAGTTATATTAGTGAGACTAATATGTGTCCCTGCAATTGTTTTTTTAGGCTATTCATTCTATTGCGTGGCATAATGAAGGGAAGCAGTTCATGTGTAGTCATTCTGATGGAAGTTTGACGCTGTGGAATCTTAAAACTCCCAGCAGGCCTTTCCAGATTATCATCCCACATGGTAAGACCTGTAATCTTGTTAAGAACCGTCGATAGTCATTAAAAGCGGTTGGTGTTTATTAAAAACAATTAGATCTCACAAAACTGTGAGCATCTTCATCAACTTCATCTAATTAACAGCTAAAAATCAGTATGTAGAGTGATTTTCCTATGAGCAAAAGGGAGCAAATTTGCTCCTTGTCTTTGCCGTAACTTTAGTCCCAATTCAGCCTTAGCAATGTATTCACTGCGGGAATATAATGGGAGGCCTGAAGGATTTGGACAATCAGGGGAGGGGCTGGTTCCCCCCTCTTTTCTTTCCTTTTATTTAAAATAAGTATGTTTATTATAGGGGACGCAGTGGCTCTGTGGGTTAAACCGCAGAAGCCTCTGTGCTGCAAGGTCAGAAGACTAGCAGTCCTAAAATCAAATCCACCTGACAGAGTGAGTTCCTGTCGCTTGTCCCAGCTCCTGCCAACCTAGCAGTTTGAAAGCATGTAAAAATGCAAGTAGATGCAGTAAATAAGTACAGTGGACCCTCGAATTACAGACGGCTCGACTTACAGACTTTTTGAGTTGCAGACTTCTCTGGCTGCAAAATTTAGATTCGACTTGCAGCCAGAGAATCGAGCTGAAAAATTGGTCCCATATTTTGTAAAAAAAAAGAGAAGTGTAGTTTCCTTTCCAAGTGAACACGCCTCTTCAGGTAGTCTTCTTCGCACTAGCACTGCTCGCCAATGTCAAGGGGAATCTTTACCTTTACTTTATGTTTATTATACACACACAAAAAATGCAGCGCGTCTTTTTGTAATAAACTATGTACGTATGTAATAAAAAGCAAATCACCAGCAAGCTACGGCAAAACAATAATGGAGGCAATCAAATGAAGACAAAGCAAATTATTAACTGATCAATTAAACACATTTTTGCCAGACGTTTTTATGAGTACTTGGAAGGGATGGCACACGAACAATAATGTTTATATAACTGATAAATCGGTCCCATATTTTGTAAAAAAAGAGAAGTGTAGTTTCCTTGCCAAGTGAACACGCCTCTTCAGGTACAATAGTCTTCTTCGCACTAGCACTGCTCGCCAAACATTAGCCTACCAAGTTGACAACGATACATTAGACAAAGTTTTGCATTGTGAGGCAATTACCATTCCAGCTGATTGACAAAGTGTGATTACAAGATTATGCAGCAAACACACCTTTCCTTATGAAACAATGACTGCAAGCCTAATGTTGTACATAAAGTAGTCTCCTGATTTTGCCTTTTCCCTCTTTTATTTAATAATGGTAACTGCTAATCTAGAAGGCTTTTATGAGGAGTGTAGCAGGGGCATTGGGTTCTTAATTCTTTTAAATTCAGCACTCCAACCAGCCAGCCCAGCTGCTTAAAGCACTCATACAAAGACGCACAAGTGCTTCCTAGGTTACTCCCACAGTTCTTGGTATAGATCAGAAATTAAAGAGCAATGCACCCTCGTATGGGATCAGATCTCTGTGAATTCATCTTCCTCTCTCCTGAAAATTTGGCTGGCAAAGTTCTGTATCTGCCTTGGTCTCGCTGAAATCAAATCCATGTGCTCACCCTATGTCTGAAAGACATTTATCAAAGCACTGAGCACTACAGAGTAGAAAGATTATGGTGTCTAATTCCAAAAATTACTCCAATAAAAGTAAGGCATGTCCAGGATATCTCTGTGAATTCATCTTCCTCTCTCCTGAAAATTTGGCTGGCAAAGTTCTGTATCTGCCTTGGTCTCGCTGAAATCAAATCCATGTGCTCACCCTATGTCTGAAAGACATTTATCAAAGCACTGAGCACTACAGAGTAGAAAGATTATGGTGTCTAATTCCAAAAATTACTCCAATAAAAGTAAGGCATGTCCAGGATGGGCATTTCTTTTGGGCCTTGAGGGCCACCACTTTGACTCCTCCAATAAAAGTAAGGCATGTCCAGGATGGGCATTTCTCCTGCTGGTTGGTGTGTTGCAGGGGTGGATTGGCTTTTTTTCTTTCCTGGCAACCACATGAGCGAGGAGACCAATTTGCCTCCAGGGCCCCCCAAGCCACACCTTTTTGAGTCCTTCTCAGGGGCTTCTATTTCTGGGCGTAAGTTGATGCACTCTAGTTTAGTCCATTTCCAGTACTATGGTCACTGGTAATGGACTAAAATCAAGCCTTGCAGCTGTCGAAGCTGCCAATGATGCCTTTCAGTTTGAATGTCCAATATCATGGAGTATCTTAATAAATGAGCCACTTCGGAATATTGGAAATTTAACACTTCCCCAGCTCCTCTGCAGAAGGGCAAGGGAAGTTAATATTTTTTTGCATCTGGTAGACCATTGCTGATATGCTGAATCACTTAGATTAAATTATTTTCAGAGTTTTTTTCTTTGCCTTTATGTGAAGTGCTGATACATTTTTTTAAATTTTTCTATAGGTAAAGTTCAAAGAGACGGGAAAAAAATTGAATCCTGTAAACCAATCCTTAAAGTAGAATACAAGACCTGTAAAAACAGGTATGTAGTGTTTTTTTAAAATAATATTAAAGAAGTGAAAATGATCACTCTATTAAGTGAGTTCTGTGCAATGAAATTGATTTACTTGAGCTTTTATTATTGTTTTCTTTTCTGTTTTTCTTCATTTGGTGAAATTTCTAATGATGACACTTCTAGTGACATATTATGCGTAACAAATAGAATGTCCCTAATCTCTCAGAGTAAAGTGTTCTGGACTAGCTTTTCGAAATCGTCCAGGATTTGTTGGGAGTTTTTGCATACAAATCTTAGATTCCTCTTGATATAGAACTCGCGTATGAGAAAACAACAGTGATATAAACACAGGCCTTTTAGTTAAAGTTTTAACACACACTGTACCGCTATTCTCAGACTAGGGAAGAACAGCTGATCTACCTGGCCCTGCTATCACTTCTGGGTCCAAAAGAACTGTACCTTGTAAGTCTCATCTTGGCAGCTGTAACAGACCTGACACTATACAGGATCTACCTGCTGGATGGTTAACAGTTTTTTTTTAGTTGTAAACATATCTCACTCTCATCTTCCACTTCCAACTTCTGACTTTTCAAATACATAAAATTTACAAGCCACCTTCCACTGATGTGGCATGTTCATCTAGTATAGCGGTCTGGAACATTCTGTAGCAAAATCAACATCTATGATACCTTTCAGTATGTACATTTCCCCCCAACAATAGCAGAAACTCTGATTCATATATTGATCGATATACAAGGCCTAGAGCCTCATGTCCATCATTCCTTCCTTCACTAGAATCATAAAATTATAGAATAATGGAGTTGGAAGGCCTCTATAAAGCTATTGAGTGCAACCCATTACTTAGTGCAGGAATCCAAATTAAAGCAGATCTCACAAATGGTTGTCCAATTTTATTATGAATCCTTCCAGTATTGGAGTGCTCGCCACCTCCAGGGGTCATTGGTTCCATTGTCTTGAATGCTTCCAGTATTAGAGTGCTCACCACCTCCAGGAGTCATTGGTTCCATTGTCATACTACTCTAACAGTTAAGATGTTTTTCTTGATATTCAGTCTAAATCTGGCTTCCTGTAACTTGAGTCCATTATTACATGTCCTGCACTCTGTGATTATTGAGCACAGATCCTGCCCCTCCTCTGGATGACTACTTATCAAGTATAGTGGTACCTCGCAAGAAGGCATCTATGAATGCCTCGTGCCATGAAAAACTCACAAGACGAAAGCATCTTGCGATTTTTCCATGACTCGCAAGACAGCTTTTCCTATGGCTGTGCTTCGCAAGACGATTTTTTTCGTCTTGCTGTCATTTTCGCAAGACAAAAAAAAGGCAATTGTCTTGTGAGGCATCTCATAGGAATGCATTGAAGGCAATTTCAATGCATTCCTATGGGAAACCATGCTTCACAAGATAATTGTTTTCACGGTACGAAAGGACTCGCGGAACAAATTGTTTCTCGTTTCCACGATATGAAAGGACTCGCGGAACAAATTGTTTTCGTCTTGTGAGGCACCACTGTATTCAAAAAGCGCTGTCATATCTCTCTTCAGTCTTCTTTTCTCAAGACTAAACATGCCCAGTTCTTTCAGTCTTTCCTCATAGGGGTTGGTTTCCACCATCATATGGGACCTGCAGTTCTAACTTTAGGCATTCTATATAGGGACTGACTATCCTCCAATCCTTCTGTTTCCAGTATGTCAGTAATGGGGCACAGCTCTCTAAGAGATAGCTGATTTTTGTAAAATGTCTCACATATTCAAGTTACTTTTGGACACTGTATCTATTAAACATCTGCATTTTACCTCACCAAAATATATATAATCATTACATTCAGATCCTATTGACTCCTGCAATATTTCCCTTCCACATCTACTTAAATTTCTCTTTCATAGGTCCAAGTAGATTGGCTATACTGTATTGCTTTGAGTCATTTGTCTTGCATCTGGTTGTTTCTGGCTTCCTAGGTTTTTTCATTAAATTCTGACGAACTACATTTCAGTTAGTTCTAAGAGCCTTGTGGCGCAGTGGTAAACCGCTGTATTGCAGCCAAAACTGTGTCCCTTCCACATCTACTTAAATTTCTCTTTCATAGGTCCAAGTAGATTGGCTATACTGTATTGCTTTGAGTCATTTGTCTTGCATCTGGTTGTTTCTGGCTTCCTAGGTTTTTTCATTAAATTCTGACGAACTACATTTCAGTTAGTTCTAAGAGCCTTGTGGCGCAGTGGTAAACCGCTGTATTGCAGCCAAAACTGTGCCCACGACCTGGGGTTCAATCCCAGGTAGCCGGCTCAAGGTTGACTCAGCCTTCTAACCTTCCGAGGTCGGTAAAATGAGTACCCAGCTCGCTGGGGGGGCAATGTGTAGCCTGCATAATTAACTTGTAAACCGCCCAGAGAGTGCTTGAAGCACTATGGGGCGGTATATAAGCAGCACGCTTTTTGCTTTTTAGTTCTAACAATTCTAACAATTTTTCTAAAGGTGTCCTTTTAATTCACAGCTGAAATGATTTAATTCCCTGTTGTGCTTTCTAGATGGTTCTGAGATTCTGCCCATGGATTTGGGGGAAAAATAGCCCTTTACTATGTGGTCAGTATGAGTTTGGCCATTTCTCTCTCAAATGCTAAATATTGAGTACAGTGGTGCCTCGCATAGCGAGGTTAATCCGTTCCGGATTAACCTTCGCTATGCTGAAGCATCGTTGAACGGATCAAAAAAACCCATTGGAACGCATTAAACATCGTTTAATGCGTTCACACTTTTTGCTTTTTAGTTCTAACAATTCTAACAATTTTTCTAAAGGTGTCCTTTTAATTCACAGCTGAAATGATTTAATTCCCTGTTGTGCTTTCTAGATGGTTCTGAGATTCTGCCCATGGATTTGGGGGAAAAAATAGCCCTTTACTATGTGGTCAGTATGAGTTTGGCTATTTCTCTCTCAAATTCTAAATATTGAGTATTCCAGTCTACTTCCCTGTCGTAGGATTCCTTTAGCGCTCTTTCTGCAACTCTCTCTGTTTGCCTAGTACATTTAGGCTTTCTTTTCTCGTGCAGTTCTTGTTCCATGGTACAGCTGCGCTAGCAGCAGGGAACAAGCTAGTATGGCTGCTTAGGAACTGTCAATCAAGCCTGACTGTTCACATGGAAATAACTCCTACAAACAGTGGGAAAAAAAAATTTTTTTTGTTCCCTTCCCCTGCCCTCTGCAGAGCAGGACCTCCCTGTCATAGGATTCCTTTAGCGCTCTTTCTGCAACTCTCTCTGTTTGCCTAGTACATTTAGGCTTTCCTTTTTCGTGCAGTTCTTGTTCCATGGTGCAGCTGCGATAGCAGCAGGGAACAAGCTAGTATGGCTGCTTAGGAACTGTCAATCAAGCCTGACTGTTCACATGGAAATAACTCCTACAAACAGTGGGAAAAAAAAATTTTTTTTGTTCCCTTCCCCTGCCCTCTGCAGAGCAGGAGAAGTTATTACTCTACCAATATCCTGAAGTGGCTTACTTATAAAGGCATTTCACAATCCTGGCAAATTGAAATAGGAAGTCTGGGTTTGGATTGGTTCCAGCAATCAAACGTGCTAGAACGGATTCAAACCAGAATGATCCTACGCACACCTGAAACATAGAACCCCCTTGACGGAGGTCAGAAAGGTGCAGGTAGGAACACTCTGGGGTGGGGCGGTGTGTGCTCTAGCAAAGACATTGGATGATTGCCGCCTTTAGTAGCCCATCCGCAGTAGCCCATCCGTGCAGCACTCCAAACAGCTGTCTAAACAGTCCGTTTGCCAACCTCTTAGAGTTTTCTTTCTTGTTTGTCCAGGATTTCTCTTTCTAAAGATCTTACAGCATAAAAGAGCTCTATAAAACACACTCCCTTTGGCTTCTTGCTAGAGCCTGTACTTCTGATTATGAAGGTGGTTAACAAGGCCTCGTGCCAGCAATCTCTAAAGAACTATTCCAGCTTCTTCCAGTTAAATTATTTTCTGTGACCTCCTTTTCTTCAAGAATTTCAATAGCCAAAGCATGCAGTTTAAGTACCTGAAGAAGCTCCTTGGCATGCTCATGAGTCTTGTAAAATTTTGCTTTTAGTTATAAAACAGAAACAGTATTGCCGAATGCTGCTTCTTGTATTCAGTCTAAAGTATCTTTCCTCCTTACTCCTAAAGTTACATGCAGTGCAAATGGGGGCAGACATTCTATTATTTTTCACCTTTTTATATTTTCTTGTATTTTCTCACCTCCCACTAATTCCCTGGTTTGTATCTCCAAACAGCTAAATGGGTTTCTCCAGATGGTTTGGGTGTGATTCTTGAAAATATTTTCAGTTTCCTTTTGAGATCTTCTGCTGCAACCTCCAGTTGCATTTTCAATTTGAAAAGCTTTAGCTAATAGAGAATGTTGCAATCCAGGTGAAAGACATATTTCAGGGGTGCAGGTTGCTATGGGAATATTTTCTCCTTCAGATCGGTCATGTACAATTTTTCTTGCTTGCTCAGGTAAAAATATAACTTCTGCATCTGCAGGAATTATCTCCCATTTTGCTTGCCCAACATTTCCTCCCAATTCACAAACTTAACTGGGAGTCTGAAACTCACACGACAACATTATTTTCCCCCCTATCTCTTGTGTTTTCAGTAAGAGTGTCATTTTTTTCTATACCATTCTTCATCTTCCCCTTCTCATAGTCCATATCAACGAGCAATATTACTCTTTGTTACCTGGTATGCTCTCAGAGCACATGACTGAACTCACACATGCTTGGAAAAACACCTGTAAGGGATCTTTGAACTATGGCAATAGTGCATCTTGATAGGGATAGGACTGAATAAATCACACCCACACAGAGCTATTCAGAAGGGGAATTTTACTGAACACAAAAGATTTAAGATACCGTAGTACAGATTCACAATCAGGTTTACTACAAATATGGGGAAACACAGGCTCAAATGAAGCAAAGTGCCTAATTATATGGCTGAGAGGCTTCACATGAAATATCTTTTCCTAGATCACACACAAACACATGCACACACATAAAAGCGGGGATAGATTGAGGAGCTACCAATGTGTGGGGAAAATATTCCAAGAAGACAATAAAGAGTGACAGATTATCTCTCCTTGGTCTTGTTAGACTGTCTGGGAGCTGTGCCGCATTGGAACTCAAGTGGGTGGGATCAGCAGCAAGATTCAGATAGATACAGAAAGAGGATTCACACCTGAAGTCAACTTGAACAATTAATGTCTTAGGTAATTCTGAAGGGGTCATTTAGATCTACGTATATTGGGGTTCTTGGGGCTTGGCTCACCTTTAGACCTTTGAGGCTATTTATTCTCTACCAGTTTTTTCTTAACCTATCCTTGTCCTTGACTTAACAAGTTTTCCAGTTCAATCAGTTTGTGTTATTCACATCCATGTCTAGGCAAATGAGACTCTGTAGGGGTGTTGCACAGACCCAGCCAGTTTGGTAACACCGGTGCATATCGAACTCCAACTTTCTGCACAACCCCATTTTATAATAATTGTCATCATCATAATCATTTTAGAATTAGGAAGCATTGAGTCCAGCCCCTGTCAAGGAAGCACCATGGGAGGAATCGAACTCCCAGCCTCTGGCTCCTCAGCCAGGGACCTCAACTACTAAGCTAATTACAGCAGTTTTGTGTTTGCAATTGGACTGCAAGCCTCATATCATACTGGGTGACAATTTGTATCACTATATTTGCGAAGGCTTTCACGGCCGGGCGCATTGGAACTCAAGTGGGTGGGATCAGCAGCAAGATTCAGATAGATACAGAAAGAGGATTCAAACCTGAAATCAACTTGAACAATTAAGATGCCGGCCACAGAGACTGGCAAAACGTTAGGAAGAACAACCTTCAGAACACAGCCAAAGAGCCCGAAAAACCCACAACAACCAATTTGTACAGTATCACACTTGAAACCTTGCCCAGATCTAAATCATGGTCTGTAAATACTCCTGGTGTCTCTCTTGCTACGTTTTGCAAAATTATTTTCTGCTCAGATTCACTAAAATTTGAGCCTACAGAGGTAAGAGGTAATGGCAAATTCTCTTCTTTCTTGTTTCTTGTGGCTAAACTCTGCACAGGAGAACCTTTAACCATTTCACCTTCACAAACCTTAGCAGCTATTTTTTGGGGGGAGCGGTTCAATACAATATCCCTTTTAGTTGGGTGAAAGAATGAAGAAGAAGGCAAATGTGTCTTTGAAGCCAAATAAAAACAAAATCCTAGATATATTTATTGACTGATATAGGAGATCTGTAACATAAAGGAAACAACTCCACATGTTCAGTCTTTAAAGACCTGAAATAAAATGCGAATATGTAAGATAAATAGTAGATAAATTTACTCTTCCAGTGCTCTCCTGCCCAAACATATTGAAATTCTACTATCTAAACCAAGGTAGTAAAGGCCTTACCATTCTCCAGAGGAACGTTAGCCTTGCCCCCATCTTCTCTAGCACTCCCCTCTTTCTCCACTGAAATTTTTAATCATAACCCCTTCCTAAAATTTCCCTACCCATTGGGCTGAATCAAATACTGTAGTCCACAGGGGTTCAAGGTACTTGTGGCTTCAAAGTTACACCAGTTAATTGCTAGAGAAAGGATCTTTGGTGGTTTTCCTGTCTTTCCTCTACTTTATTTTTCTTCAGTGTCATTAGATATTTTTGCTTTTTCAGTTTTAATTGTCTGAATTGTAATTAACTACGTTTGCTTTTCAATTTTATTGTTCTATTTTTGGAACTAGTTATTGCAGAAGCATTAAAGTGGTTCTCTCACATAAAGAATGTCAACTCTTCCCATATAGATCTCTCCTTCAAACTTAATCACACACACACAAGTTATTCTCCTACTTAACAGGGAAAAGATTGCAAGTCTGTTTAATGCTTTCCATGGATGGTATGGTGTTCATTCCTTTTTATCCTTCTGCTGACAAATGAAGACCCAACTCTTCAGCCAGGCTTTTAACAATCATAGCTGCGTTCCCTAGATGACATTTATTGTTAAGTTTGATTTTAAAGTTTCAAATGTTTTTATTTAATCAATGTGTTAGTTCAGTTGGTTTAATGTATAATTTATTGTGTCCCCGTATTGGTAGAAAGGCAGCCTATAAATAATACAAACAAACAAGTAAATTTGAAGACCCAACTCTTCAGGCAGGCTTTTAACAATCATAGCTGCGTTCCCTAGATGACATTTATTGTTAAGTTTGATTTTAAAGTTTCAAATGTTTTTATTTAATCAATGTGTTAGTTCAGTTGGTTTAATGTATAATTTATTGTGTCCCCGTATTGGTAGAAAGGCAGCCTATAAATAATACAAACAAACAAGTAAATAAATAAGAAAAAAAGTACTACCCACTCTGCCAGCTTGCTGCTCTTCGATCCGATTCCTTTGGGATATACATCATGTGAGTTCTACCCATAGGGCTTCCAGTTTCCTCCTGAGAACTGTAGACAGCCACTCTTTAAATTTTGCTCTCTCACAGGATTCTTGTGCAGATAAAATGGAGAATTCTTTATAAAAGTGGCCCTTAGCCATCTTTGACCAAGAGTGCAATAAAAATGAATCAGTAGCAATAAATAATGCAATGTTTTGCATACTGATTTTTTTTCATTATTCCATTATTCAGGTGCCCAAGAATCTATACGAAATTTCCTGGGAGATTTTCACAAGGGCCATGGTTTAACCTCAGTTGATAGCCTCAGTAGATAGTGAGAGTCACTTTGTAGATAATTTTCATAAATACTCACTCTGCATGAGTCATTTTTAGTCTGTGTGTATTCAAATAGATTCCATTTTCAGCTCAGACAAAACTCTTCCTGAATTTTAATATTCTTTTAAAATGGATACTGTAATCTATTCTTAGAGAGAGATTGTAAATGCATATACTGTACATTTAGAATCTGATTGTGGCTGAAGAGATTTTGTTTTTGTTTTAATCAGCACAGTGATCCATTTATGCTGTCAAAATTCAATGGGGATTGTAGAATCCAGAATAGATTCTAAAACTCTGCCTAAGGATTCTGCAGAAAAAAAACAAGTGTGCAACCCTGTATTTGATATGCTGGCTGAGGGGCTGCTGGATAGAATTAAAGCCTCACAATGCCAATAAGGATGTAAGACATGGCTCCTTAATGTTGAAATATCTGCTTCATACTATTTAATATTATGGAAATGATTTCATATTATGGGACTCATTTGGGAGGAGTGTTTGACCATTGGCAAATGTTTTCAAAGCAGAAGGCCCTCAGTTCACTTCCCAGCATTTCCACATAAAATAATTTCATGTTGCGCTGCTGGGAAATAGCCTGCCTGAGACACTGCAGAACTGTTAATAAGACCAGACAGTACAGGGCCAGATGGACCAGTAATAGGACTTAACGTCGCCTCATTAATCTTGTCATAATGTAAATTCAAGGTTTTCAATTCAAGAATGCTAGGAAGGTCAACACAAGTCTTTAAAATGTACTGTAGTTACAATTGACATACAAACTGAGTTCCTTTTTTTCCAGTTTGCAACAATCTTTACCAAAACGACAACAAAAAACAAAAACAAAACAAAATCGAGGATGCAAGAGGTGTGAAAGTGTGAAATGATAATCCTTTCAAATTATTTTTTTCCAATATAGTGAGCCTTTTATAGTTTTTTCTGGAGGACTTTCATATGACAAACCTTGGCGAAGACCAAGTCTGACAATCATGCATGGAAAAGCAATCACAGTGCTTGAAATGGATCATCCCATTGTTGACTTTTTAACTCTTTGTGAAACTCCATACCCAAATGGTACGTGTGCGTTACATTTTTTTTGCTATGTATTTTTATTGACTTAAGTGTGCTTGTGGACATTCTTCAGGTATAACATTTTCAGTTGTCTCCAACTCTTCAACTACATATGTATGGTTCCATGAACGCCTCTCTTCACTAAAATGCACACAAGCCTCAAAAATGTCCAGATTTCTTTAGGAAATACGGGTCTCATCCCATGGCCAGGTTTTCGAGGTTTGAAATGAATATTTTCATAGGAAATGTGAACCCATGCAATTTCTTTTTGCTTCCTTGCTTCTGGAACAGCTTGCCTGTTCTCTCACTAATTAAAGGTTGAAGCTATATTTATGAGAATCTCATACTGCATGGCACTGAATGTAATACCAAAAGGACATGTTCCAGGCAGTACTGGAACATGTTTCATCAGTATTCCAGGCAGTCTTAACATCTTAAGTCACACCATCATTCTAAAAAATGTCACAGGGAGACAAATAAAAGGTCTTCTGTCTCACACAGTAGCTTTTAAAGATTTTTGCAGCTGAGGTCTAACAATTAAATTAAATCTAAGGTGTCCCAGGGTGCGGTTACACATTGAAATACTCCTAGATTTGCGTTGGCTTAAGCATGCTTGAAATCAATTAAAAAGACCCATTTACATGATGTACAGATAAATGCACAATATATATATATATTTGCCAGGAAGTGAGGGGGGTTTGTTCGGAAAATGAGGTTTGTTTGTTTGTTTTTTAAACACCTGCTAGGAGCTTATTTATTTTAACTTGATTTTGAATGTGGTTTATTTTGAATCATTTTGGCATGTGTGCTCGCCTGTGTCAGAATAAATTGTGTCTGTGAGGTTTGTCAGGTATTAAATGCCGGGATCATAGTTTTTGGACTGCGTGGTAGCCTTGCAATCTCATATATTGTTTTTTCCCCCATCTGTAACACTGATCTAGCGCTATGCCAGCTTAAAAGAATTAAAAAATAAATTGAAAATAGAACAAATATTAAAAATCGAACCATGACAGAAGTACATTGCTTTTTTGAAGTGCGTTGGTGGTGATAGTATCAAGTGACTATGAGAGGCAGGCGGGTAGAAGACAAAAACCTCAAAAGCAGTTACAGTAGGAGATGCTAGCAACCAGAGCATCTCCTCAAAGCTACAGCAGTGCAGGGATTTATTTTAGTTTTTTGGTGCAGACTCTGGATAAGCCTAGCTTCTGGAGGGCAAAATGTAGTTAGCTAGAGCCCCATGGTGCCAATTTTAAAAGAATTTTAAAAGCCCACTTAGTCCCCTTGACTAGTATACCACATATCTTACATCCAAATTAAAAGTTGTTCCAAGAAAGGACATACACACTGATCCAAAACTCATGTGACTACTACCATGTTTCCCTTAAAATAAGACAAGGTCGTATATTAATTTTTGCTCCAAAAATGCATTAGGGCTTATTTTCAGGGGATGGTTTTTTTTCATGTACAACATTTTACGTTTATTCCAATACAGTCATGTCATCTTCTGGTTGCTGCACAATGGTGGAGGGTGGGGTTTCACTTAATTGGGGCTTGTTTTGGGGGTAGGCTTATATTATGAGCATCATGAAAAATCATACTAGAGCTTATTTTCAGATAGGTCTTATTTTCGGGGAAACAGGGTATGTGACTTTAAACCAACATCAAAACCCTCAATCCAGCTCCTGATTTATTTCAATAGTGCAACCGCGCCCCCAATATGGAGAACTCATTTCAGCAGTTTAGGATTCTGTTTGAAATCTTCCATTATGTGACTAGTTAGAGCAACAGGTATGTTAACTGGCTTTTATTTGATGCCCTAGTTTGTTAATATTTATATTTGATTCTTGTTTCATAGAAGTTCAAGAACCCTATGCTGTAGTTATACTATTGGAAAAAGATCTAATTGTCGTTGACCTGACTCAAAGCCAGTAAGTACAATTTTCTCATGATCTGCGATCATTGTTAGAAGGAAAGGCCAAGTTTAACGTATTTTTCCGTATATAAAATGACACTTTTTCCTAAAATAATTAGAGGAAAAATTGAGGGTTGTTTTATACATGGAAGTAAGTAGAGGGGAGGGACCAAAGTGCTTTGATCCCTGCTTTCCCCCTCCACATTTTGCAAAAAAAGTGGAGAGAGAAAGCAATTCCTGCTTTCCTCCTACACTTTCGTTGCAAAAAGTGTATGGGGAAAGCAGCTTTTTGCAAAGAAAGTGGAGAGGGAAAGCCCTTTCCTCGCAGGAAAGTGGAGGGGGAAAGCAGGAATCAAAGCACTTTGATCCCTGCCTCTCCCCTCCACTTTCTTGCAATGAAGGAAATTTTGGGTTAGAAATGTGGGGGTGTCTTATACATGGGAGCATCTTATACATGGGAAAATGTGGCATTTATATCTTTCAAAATCAAGATTAGAAACATAGTGTAACATGAACAAGCCAAAGCCAAGGTGCATTTAAAAATCTACAGGTTTAATGCCCATCTGTGCCACATGCTTAAAGCCTGTGGTCCTGTAGGCCCAACAGCCAGTCTTTTTTATAATTATTATTGTATTTCTGAAGTCAGAATCTTTTTGTTTATAAGAACTCTGATTAAATTGTAGGGGGAACAGGGAGATATTTTGTATTGGAATTAAAGTTTTCAAAGATTACTGTGCTGATTCAGTTGTGCCTAGCGCTTTCTATCTGATTAATTTTCATGGTTCCAAATAATTGCACACTGAGATTGCAGTTACACAAAAACATTTATTGAACTCATGCATTTTTCTGTTTGCCACTGGATCTGGATTAGATCCCTGAGACATATTATAAAAAGAATTGACAACAAAATAATTCTACAATTTACTTAAAATACACCAATGAAATGTTAGTACAGTGGACCCTCGACTTACGGAATTAATCCGTATTGGACTGGTGGCTGCAGGTCGAAAAGTCCATAGGTCGAGGGTCCATTTCCCATAGGAATGCATTGAAAAACCTGTAATCCGTAACCGGCCCAAGCAAAAATACCCCCCCACACACACACACAAACAAAAATTGAAAATAAATACTGTAGAACCTTATCTGTCCGAAGCCTTCCAGGGGTCCCCTGCTGCCACCATCACTTCTGCCCGAGGCCTCCGAGGGCTTCCCCACCACTGCTGGAGGCCTCTCGGAGGTCCCCCACCCCTGCCGACACAGGCTTCACCAGGGTGGACTGGGCCTACCAGGGGAAGGCTTCCCCTGGTAGGCCCATGTACCAGGCTTCACGGGCAGTAGACCAGGCCTACCGGGGGGAGCCCTCCCCTGGTAGGCCCGGCCCGCCCTGGG